TCCCCACGCCTGCTAATAAAACGGTCAGGGAACTTGAAAACGTAACTATGTAGCCCTGAAAGCTGTATAGCAACATACTGGATGAAATGGGGAGCGGTTATTGGTCATGTGACCCTAGAAAGTGTATAGCAACATATTGGTTGAAATGGGGAGCGGCGATTAGTCATGTGACCCTGGAAGGTGTAAAGCAACATACTAGATGACATGAGGAGCGGTGATTGGTCATGTGACCCTGGAAGCTGTATAGCACAACATACTGGTTGAAATAGGAAGCGGTCATTGGTCATGTGGCCACGCTGACCAATAAGGATCTATTTTTTTTTCTGGAATGTTGTCCTAGTGATCGCCATGTGGAAGCTGTAAAGCAACATAATTGTTGCAGTGGGGAGTGGTGATCGGCCACGTTATCACACTGACCAATAAGAACATTCTTCCTTCGGGGACAGCATCTCAGAGAAAAGATAATATTCTTATTGGTCAATGTGGCCACATGGCCAACCACTGCCCCCAATCCCCCCCACTGAAACCATTAGGTTGCTGCACAGCTTCCACGGTCACATGGCAAATAAGCATTCCCCATTGCAACTAGTATGCTGCTATGCAGATTGCAGGGCTGTGTAGTAAAGTTTTTATGTTTCCCAAACACTATATTGGCTGACGTGGGCTGCAGGTAAGTGTCACCATTACAGATAAGTGGTGCAGGGACCCGGGGGTGTTGCGAGTCCGTTCATTTGTATTTCATGAAAATGCCCCGGTACCGGCGCTTTAAAATGTTACACTGAAGCTGGCGCTGCCATTCACAGGAAGGCTGCCGAAGTCCCCAGCAAGGTCCCAGCAGCCTTCCTGTGAACCACGGCACCTGTTTACAGCGCCAGCCGCATATCTCCTCCTCCTTTCTGTGAAAGCACGCCGCCCACAAGACCGACCAGGAGCCCTGGTGAGACCCCACCACAGACCCCGCAAAGCCCCCCTGAGACCCCTGCCACAGACCCCCGAGACCCTTCACAGCCCACCTGAAAACCCAGGACAGCCCGCCTGAGATTCCCCACTGAGGATATCAGGCTGGAATCGCAGAGCAGGTCCAACTATGCAGCTTCATATTATTTTGCATTGATGTCTAATGCATTGCTGAGATTTGCAGTGCTCTATAGCGGTTTGCCATTCAGCATTGCTATATATTGTATTGCTGGGATTTGTAGTCTTTTATAGCCGATGGTATTCTGCATTGCTGTATGAAGGATTGCTGAAATTTGTAGTCCTCTATAGCTAAATGGTATTTGGCATTGCTATATAATGTATTGCTGGGATTTGTAGTCCTCTATAGCTGGTAATAGTCTGCATTGCTGTATAAAAGGATTGCTGAGATTTGTAGTCCCTCTACAGCGTGGAGTCAGTGGCAGAACTACCAGGGGCACAGCGTTTGCAGCTAGGATGGGGGCCCTGGCGCTCCACCACTGTCCTACAGTCATTAGTCTGCATTGTTATAGGAAAACGGTCACATGACACTTTAAGTATCGGTATTTAGTATCAGTGAGTACTTGAGGAAAGGTATCGGTACTCGGTCTGGAAAAATGGTATCCATGCAATATATATATA